CGGGCTGCTGGGCGGCCACCGCCGCTGCGCCCGCCGCACTTGCGCCTGCCTGACATCAGCACCCGCGCCTGCAGCCCAGCTCTGGCCAATGAATAATGCCTGGCAGGCATCCGCCCCGCCCGGCCCCTGCCTCCCGGCACGCCCCCGACCCCTGGCCCCCATCCCTGCACGACCTCAGGACCTCTCTGGGAGCTGGGCAGAGAGAAAAGTTGAGTGACCTTGGGGGATGGGGAAGGCGGGGCAGAAGGTGCCCCTTGGGAGAGGGGCCGCCCTGGAGGACACTCCTGGGGTCCTGGCTGAAAAGTGCCCCTGCATGCTGGAAATAATCCCAGGGAGGCCCTGGGCTCCTTTCAGGGAGGCCAAAAGGTGAGGCCAAAATGGAAAGTAGGAGCCAAAGAAACTGGCTGGATTTCTCTGGGAGGGAGCCGCTCACCACAGATTTTGAGCAGTCGTTAATGTTTAAGAGAAGAAATTAAATGAACCCGGGCTTGGCGTCTAGTAGTGAAGACTGTGCTTGTCTTTTGCCCCGGAGCAGTTTTGCGCTGGGGCGGTAAGGGTCTGGCTCTGGTTTCTACCGCACCCTCGGGTAACAGACTCCATCTACCCTCCATACTGAAGAAATGTGCATAGAACACTGCCTCCCCAGCTGCTGGGGCCTGCTCTCGGTTGTAAAGAAACCTACTGAAAGCCAGCAAAAGTTTTCCCTAGCTCAGCATGCTTACTGCCCGACCAGCCCCATCCCAATGAAACAGAGGGTAGCACAAACCATTTGTGCTGGAGGTGTAACGCTGTGGGGTAATACAGGGCTGCAAGGTCGGTTTGAACGTCAAGGTTGGCAGTTCAAGCTCAACAACTGCTCCTCAGAAACGCTATACAGGATTGCTGAGTCGGAATCCACTCAAAGACACTTAACAACTAACTGGTTGACAGTTTGAAACTTACCCAGAAGAGCCACAGAAGAAAGACCTGGCGGTCTGCTTCTGTAAGATTGAGGCCAAGAAAATCCTATGTGGCAAGTTCTACTCTGTAACACACGGGTTTGCCATGAGTTGAAATCAACTCTATAATTGTTCATGGAACAAGAGGCCTGATCATTCTAGGCAGCATACATTTAATCTTTCACCCCTTCTGTATCAGGTCCTATCAATAATTTATGTTGTGTTGTTAAGTGCTGTCGTCGGTCCCAATCCATAGTCACCCTGTATAAGGATTTCTGAGGAGCAGCTGGTGAGCTCAAACCACCAACCTTGCAGTTCAAACAGCTTTGCAGTCTGACGCATTAACCCACAGCGCCACACCAGAACTCCATCAATAATTTATGGGAAGTATGAATAACATACTGCTAATGGTCTAGTGCTTGGTCAGTGAAGGGGATGGCAGCCTACACTAACAGTTAACAGGGTCCTCTGGGGCCCTTCTTCTACTCCCTAAGTTTAATGCAATAAACAACCGCAAGTGTTATTGTTGTCATTGTTGTGTGCCATCTCACAGAATTTCCAAGATGGGCTAGTGGGTTTGAACTGTTGACATTGCAGTTGGCTGTTGTTGTTAGGTGCCATCAAGAGAGTTCTGACTCACAGTGACTCTGTGAGAAACAGAATAAAACACTGCCCAGTCAGTCCTGTGTCCTTCTCAAAATTGTTACGTTTTGTGCCATCTTTTTTTGCGGGGGAGAGGGAGTTCATTCCTCCTCTTTTTCGCTGAACTTCCACTTTACCAAGGACTGGTCCTTCCTGATAACATGTCTAAAAAACAAGAAGCAAAGTCCCACCATCCTGGCTTCTAGGAGTATTTTGACTGTCTTCCAGGACAAGATTGTTAGTCCTTTAGCACTTCATGGTACTTTCAATATTCTTCCCCAACACCATAATTCAAATGCATTGATTCTTCTTCGGTCTTCCTTAGTCATTGTCCAACTTTCACTTGCATATGAGGCAATTGAAAATACCATGGCTTGGGTCAGACGCACCACAGTCCTCAAACTGACAACTGACATCTTTACTCTTTCACCCTTTAAAGATGTCCTTTGAGGCAGACTTGCCTAATGCAAGTTATATTTTGATTTCTTGACTGCTTCTTCCATGAGCACAGTTAAGTCTTCTGGCATACCCCTTCTTCAAAATGTTATCCATAGTTTATTAGGATCCACACAGTTGAATGCCTTTGCATAGTCAAATAAAGCTAGAGTAAACATCTTTCTGGCATTCTCTGCATAGCAGAGAATGAAACTCCGCCCGGTCCTGCACCGACATCACAATCATTGTTACGTATGAGCCTATTGCTGCTGCCATTGGGGGGAGGGGTCTTCCTTTCCCAGGAACTGGTCCCTCCTGATCATATGTCCACAGTGTGAGAAATGATTTCTCACCATCCTGGCTTCTAAGGAACATTCTGACTGTACTTCTTACAACACAGATTGTTTGTTCTTCTAGCAGTCCATGGGACTTTGAATATCCTTCTCCAAAACCACAATTTAAATGCATCAATTCTTTTAGGGTGTCCTTATTCACTGTCCAACTCGCACATGCACATGGGCTATTGAAAATATGGCTTAGGTCAGGTGCACCTTAGTTCTCAAACTGACGATTTGCTCTTGAACACCTTAAAGAGGTCTTGTACAGCAGATTTGCCTAATGCAGTCAGCTGTTTGATTTCATGACTGCTGCTTCCATGAGTGTGGATCCAAGCAAAATGAAAGCTTTGACAACTTCAGTCTTTTCTCCATTTATCATTCTACTATTTATTGGCCAGTTGTGAGAATTTTTGTTTCTTTATATTGAGGTGCAACCCATTTCGAAGGCTGTAGCCTTTGATCTTCATTAGTAAGTATTTTAAATCCTCTTGGCTTTCAGCAAGGTTGTACCATCTGCATATAGAAGGTTGTTAATGAGTCTTTCTCAAAATCTGATGCCATGTTATTCCTCATCTAATCCAACTTCTCAGATTATTTGTTCAGCATATAGATTGAAAAAGTTGCATGGAAGAATACAACCCTAATCACACCTTTCCCAATTTTAAAGCATTCAGTATCCCCTTGTTCTGTTTGAATGATTGCTTCTTGGTTTATGTCCAGGTTCCTCATGAGCACAATTCAGTATTTTGGAATATCGATTTGTCACAATGTTCCCCGTAGCTTGTCATGATTATAGTAAAAAACCTTTGCATAGTCAATAAAGTACAGGTAAATACTTTTCTGGTATTCTCTGCTTTCAGTCAAGATTCATCTGATGTCAGCAATGATATCCTTGTTCCATGTCCTCTGAATCTGGCTTGAACCTCTGGCAGCTACCTTTCAATGTATTATTGTAGCCATTTTTTAATTATCTTTAGCAAAATTTTACCAATGTGTGATATTAATGACATTGGTTTTTATCACAAATATGAGCCTCTTCCAATCAGTTAGTCAGGTAGCTAGCTCCCATATTATTTGGCACATATGAGTGAGCACCTCCAGTACTGCATCAGCTTTTTGGAAGATTTCAATTTGTATTCCATCAATTTGTGGAGCCTTGTTCTTTGCCAATTCCTTCAGTGCACCTTGGACTTCTTCCTTCAGGATCATTGGCTCTTGATCTTATGCTACCTCTTAAAACAGTTGAATACCAACCATTCTTTTTGATGAAGTGACTCTTCCACCTTCTTTTGATGCTTTCTGCATCATTCAATATTTTCCCCATAGAATTCTTGACTGTTGCTAGTTGAAATTTGAATTTTTTCTTCAGTTCTTTCAGCTTGAGAAATACTGAGTGTATTCTTCCCATCTGATTTTCTAACTCCATGTCTTTGCACATTTTATAGAAATGACCAATCTGATTGTTTCTTCAGTATCATTATGAGCACTTTCCATGAGCTGACCACTGTGGGAGGGGAAAAAGGACCAGACCCTACCCTCAAGGAGCTTAGAATACATCTGTTGTTTTTGTTAAGAGTCACGGAGTCAGTTCTGACTCATAGCAACCATGTATAGAGTGTCCAAGGAGCAGCTGCGCCTTGAGTTTGAGCTGCCGACCTTGAGTTTCAAACTAAAATTTTTGGTTTCAAACTGCCGACCTTGAGTTTCAAACTGGATCATTTGGTCCAATGTTTATCCTACAGTGCCACACCAGGACACCTGGAGTCTATCTTGTTGTTGTTGTTGTTATGTGCCGTGGCATAGGTTTCCAACTCATAGCGACCCTGTACAGGGTTTCTGAGGCTGTAATCTTTACAGGAGCAGAAAGCCTCATCTTTTTCCTGCAGAACAGCTGGTACTTTCGAACTGCTTACCTTGAGGTTTGCAGCCCGATTCATAACAACTATGCTACCAGAGCTCCTGGAGTCTACCTAAGTAACAAAAATCCATATCCACTGTTTTTGAGTCAATTTCAACTCATAGCAACTCTATAAGACACATAGAAATGCTCTGTGGGGTTTTCAGAACTATAAATCTTTTCTCCCATAGAGTGGCCAGTGGATTTGAACCTCTAAGCATGCAGTTAGCAAGCATAATAGTTAACCCATTGTGCCATCTGGACACCATCTAGCTAGTTTGATAACACTAAAAAAGCATCTTCCACAAGGCTATGAGGAAGTCACAGACTGATCCTAAAAGGTTGAGACCTTGAAGGTGAATTTCATGGAGAGGGTGAAAGTAGAGTTGAATATTCATTGCAGATCACCATTTATCCAGTGTCCAGCATCAATGCTAAACTCTCAGTGTGGATCAACATCTAATTCTCTTTATCTACCCTGAGACTTGAGTCATGAGGTACAACGCTGTCTGTGATAGGATAATATCCTAACATGTGCCTACAGGGAAGCCCAGTTAATAGCACTACTATTCAAATTTATGCACCAACC